CTGTCACTCACCTGTCGCTCACCTGTCTCTCACCTGTCACTGACCTGTCACTCACCTGCCTCACCTGTTTAATCTCACCTGTCCTGTGTCACCTGTCCCCATCTCTCACGTGTGTCTCACCTGTCTGGATCTCAGGTATCGGCTCCTCTCCTCTCTCTCCTGTCTGTGTCTCACCTGTCTCTCACCTGTGTCTCACCTGTGTCTCACCTGTCTCTCACCTGTATCTCACCTGTATCTCACCTGTGTCTCACCTGTATCTCACCTGTCTGTCTCTCACCTGTCTGTCTCACTATCACCTGTCTGTGTCTCACCTGTGTCTCACTATCACCTGTCTGTGTCTCACCTGTGTCTCACTATCACCTGTCTGTATGTCACCTGTCTGTGTCTCACCTGTCTGTATCTCTCACCTCTCACCTGTGTCTCGCTGTCGCCTGTCTGTCTCACCTGTGTCTCACCTGTGTCACCTGTCTGTCTCTCACCTGTCTCTCACCTGTCTGTCTCACTATCACCTGTCTGTATCTCACCTGTTCCACCTGTATCTCACCTGTCTCTCACCTGTATCTCACCTGTCTCTCACCTGTATCTCACCTGTCTCTCACCTGTGTCTCACCTGTCTCACCTGTGTCTCACCTATCTCACCTGTATCTCACCTGTCTCTCACCTGTGTCCCCCCTGTCTATATCTCACCTGTCTGTGTCTCACCTGTCCCACCTGTATCTCACCTGTGTCTCACCTGTCTCGCCTGTCTCACCTGCCCTGTCTCACCTGTCCTTTCTCACCTGTATCTCACCTGTCTCACCTGTATTCACCTGTGTCTCACCTGTCTCACCTGTATCTCACCTGTATCTCACCTGTCTCACCTGTCCTGTCTCACCTGTGTGTATCTCACCTGTCTGTGTCTCACCTGTATCTCACCTGTGTCTCACCTGTCTCACCTGTCTAGGACGATGTCCCGGCCTCGGCCGCCCCCCGGCCCCTCCCCGGCCTCTCCTTCCTGGTGCCGGAGCCCGAGGACCTGGAGGACCTGTACAGCAGGTACAAGGTGAGTGCCACACCTGGGACAGGTGAGGTTACCTGTACAGCAGGTACAAGGTAAGTGACACAGCTGGGACAGGTGTGAAACACCTGGGACACACCTGGGACACACCTGGGACAGGTGTGAGGGGTTACAGGACCTGTACAGCAGGTACAAGGTGAGTGCCACACCTGGGACAGGTGAGGTTACCTGTACAGCAGGTACAAGGTAAGTGACACAGCTGGGACAGGTGTGACACACCTGGGACACACCTGGGACACACCTGGGACAGGTGTGACACACCTGGGACACACCTGGGACACACCTGGGACAGGTGTGAGGGGTTACTGGAACCTGGAGGACTTGTACAGCAGGTACAAGGTGAGAACACACCTGTGTGACAATGTCCCATGGCTCAAGTGTGTCTCACCTGGCTCAGGTGTCCCTCAGGTGTTTTACCTGTCTCTCAGGTGTGTCTCAGGTGTGTCTCAGGTGTGTGTCTCACCTGCAGAAGCTGCAGCAGGAGCTGGAGTTCCTGGAGGTGCAGGAGGAGCTCAGCCCTGCCCTGTGCCCAGCGTCCCCTGGCCCAGGTGTCCCTCAGGTGTCCCTCAGGTGTTTTACCTGTCTCTCAGGTGTGTCTCAGGTGTGTGTCTCACCTGCAGAAGCTGCAGCAGGAGCTGGAGTTCCTGGAGGTGCAGGAGGAGTACATCAAGGACGAGCAGCGCAACCTGAAGAAGGAGTTCCTGCACGCGCAGGAGGAGGTGAAGCGCATCCAGAGCATCCCGCTGGTCATCGGGCAGTTCCTGGAGGCCGTGGACCAGAACACCGCCATCGTGGGCTCCACCACAGGTGAGACACACCTGGGCACACACCTGGGCACACCTGGGGACACCTGGGCACACCTGGGATGGGTGAGGGACACAGGGGATGAGGTTGGCAGTGTCCCGCTGGTCATCGGGCAGTTCCTGGGCTGTGGACCAGAACACGGCCATGGTGGGCTCCACCACAGGTGAGACACACCTGGGCACACACCTGGGCACACCTGGGCACACCTGGATACACCTGGGCACAGCTGGGCACACCTGGGCACACCTGGATACACGTGGGATAGGTGAGGGACACAGGGGATGGGGCTGGCAGTGTCCCGCTGGTCATCGGGCAGTTCCTGGGGCCGTGGACCAGAACACCGCCATGGTGGGCTCCAGCACAGGTAACGCACCTGGGCACACCTGGGCACGCACCTGGGCACACCTGGGCACACCTGAGATACCAGGGATAGGTGGGGACAGGGGTTGAGGAGGTTACACGTGGGATAGGTGAGGGACACAGGGGATGGGGCTGGCAGTGTCCCGCTGGTCATCGGGCAGTTCCTGGGGCCGTGGACCAGAACACGGCCATGGTGGGCTCCACCACAGGTGAGACACCTGGGCACACCTGGGCACACCTGGATACACCTGGGCACACCTGAGATACCAGGGATAGGTGGGGACAGGGGTTGAGAAGGTTCCCATTGGTCATCAAGGCCCATGGAGCTGAACGTGGTCATTGTGAGCTCCACCCAGGTGAGGAACTCACCTGGGCACACCTGAGAACACACCTGAGAACACACCTGGGCACACCTGGGCACATACTTGGGCACACACCTGGGCACACCTGGGCACATACCTGGGCACACACCTGGGCACACCTGGGCACACCTGAGAACACACCTGAGAACACACCTGGGCACACCTGAGAACACACCTGGGCACACCTGAGAACACACCTGAGAACACACCTGGGCACACACCTGTGCTCACCTGGGCACACACCTGAGCACACCTGAGCACACACCTGGGCACACCTGGGCACATACCTGGGCACACACCCGGGCACACCTGAGAACACACCTGGACACACCTGGGCACACCTGGGCACATACCTGGGCACACACCCGGGCACACCTGAGAACACACCTGGACACACCTGGGCACACCTGGGCACACCTGAGAACACACCTGGGCACACACCTGAGCACACCTGGGCACACACCCGGGCACACCTGAGAACACACCTGGACACACCTGGGCACACCTGAGAACACACCTGTGCTCACCTGGGCACACCTGGGCTCACCTGGGCGTGGTGAGGACGTAGGGATGGAACCTCAGCGGCCAACTGGAGATGCCCACACCTCCCCGTGTCCCCTCCGTCCGTGTCCGGAGCGGCTCGCGGCGTCTCACCTGGCCCAGGTGAGCCCCAGGTGAGCCCCAGGTGCGTCCCGCAGGCTCCAACTACTACGTGCGCATCCTGAGCACCATCGACCGCGAGCTGCTCAAGCCCAACGCCTCGGTGGCGCTGCACAAGCACAGCAACGCCCTGGTGGACGTCCTGCCGCCCGAGGCCGACAGCAGCATCATGATGCTCACCTCAGGTGAGCTCACCTGGCCACACCTGGGGGCCGTAAAACCTCGTTTCGGGGTGGGAAAACGGTGTTTGAGGTCATCAAAAGTCAAGTGGGGTCATAAAAATTCAATGGAGGTCATCAAAAGTAAACTGGGGTCATCAAAAGCCAACTGGGGTCACCTTGGGGTCATGAGAGGTGGAGTGGAGCTGTGCTGGGGTCAGCAGGTGTCACCTGGGCACACCTGGGATCCATAAAACCTCGTTTTGGGGTGAAAAAACGGTGTTTGAGGTCATCAAAAGTCAAGTGGGGTCATCAAAAGTCAAGTGGGGTCATCAAAAGTCAAGTGGGGTCACCTTGGGGTCATGGGATGTTGAGTGGAGCCGTGCTGGGGTCAGCAGGTCTCACCTGGGCACACCTGGGCACACCTGGGCACTGTAAAACCTCGTTTTGGGGTGGAAAAACGGTGTTTGAGGTCATCAAAAGTCAAGTGGGGTCATCAAAAGTCAATGGGAGTTATTAGAAGTCAACTGGGGTCACCTTGGGGTCATGGTAGGTGGAGTGGAGCCGTGCTGGGGTCAGCAGGTGTCACCTGGGCACACCTGGGCTCACCTGGGCACACCTGGGCACACCTGGGCTTGTTCCCAGTTCATCCCAGTAGCCCCCAGCTGCCCCAGTTGCCCCCAGTCCCTCCCAGT